AGTGAAGGTTTCAGAAGAGAAAAAAATACTAGTAATGGTTAAATACAACTAAAAATTTATCTATTCAACATATAGGCAATTTGGTCTTCATATTTGTTTATATTTATATTTGGTTGTTACTGCTATTTTTTTTCTTAGGTCTCCACTATCATTCTTCCTTTCTTCTATTTAACAGAAGGGCAATTTGGTCTTCATATTTGTTTTTGCATACAAGGACCATAGGTTTTCCTAATTATGTTATGTAAACTATGCTCTTACTCGTCAATGTCTTAAATGATTTGGAGAAATGCTTCAAAAATTTTCTTTGTGATGTACCTGATGGGACTAAAAAAATCTTATCTTTTATCTTAGGACAACGTCACTATAGATAAAAATGTTAGGGCCTTGGGTTTCAAAAGGATTAAAAGTCAAAATATAGCTTTCATTATGAAGCTCTACTAGGGTCTCATTACTAAACCAAGCAGTCTTTGGGTTCATATCTTATAGGATAAATATAAGCATGTCAAACCTATCATTCTTATAGTTCAAAACCCCACTACTTCATCTTAAACTTAGCATAATATTTGCAAAATTTGGGATAATTTCACGACTCATGTGGGATGAAAAGTCAGTAAAGGCAACCAAATTTCTCTTTGGTATGACAAATAGACCTCTCTCCCTGAACCCTTCATTAATTATGCTTATCCTAAAGCTGATTCTGTCCTCTATGCAAGAATTTTTGATTTCCATATGAGCACGAGGGGGTGGAACTTCAAACAATTAAAATGATACTTGCACCTTGAAGTAATCGATATCATATCTCTTGTTTGGCCTCCTAATCCTCTTAGTGACAAAGATGTTATTTACTGGAGGTTGTCTAATAATGGAAACTTTTCTATAAGATTTGTGTACAGAGCAATTGAAAATCAAGACCATCACACGAACTTTGATATCTGGTCGATGATTTGAAAATGACCCGCCTATGAAAAAATTAAATACTTTTTATGGAAAGTTACTTGGGACAGACTCCAATCTAAATTCATTAACAATAATGGGAGAGGACCTCATTAACAAATTTGTTCTTTTAGTTGTAACGTTTTTGACTCTTTTATTCACGTCCTATGTGATTGCAAAAAAGCTAGAGAAGTGTATTTGACAATAATTAATCCTTCTAAGATTAATACTTTCTTCTCTCTATGTGTATAGGATTGAATAATTTAAAATGTAAAAAATGATGTTGGGGCTAAAAAACAAGAAAAACACCTTGGCAAAAACTCTTTGCTCAGGTCTCTTGGAACATATGGAAAAGCTAATGCAGCTTAATATTATTTGAAGAAGATCATAAAGAAAATGTTATTACTTTTTGCTCCACCCAACAAATCCTAAATGACCTCAAACTTCATCTTACAACTAACATTCTAAGTAAGAGAAATGAAAGATTTAAAGCTAAATGGGACTTCTTAAAGCAGGTTGGGTTTGACTTGATATCAACAGTTTAGCTAATGTCAACGAGGTTGTTATTGCCTGCTTGTGGAGGCCTCGTACATGATGATCAAGGGAACTTAATCAAGGGCTTTTTCAAATATCTCGAATATCATTGAAGCACAATTGTCAAAATCATAAGTGTCTTGGAGAGAATCAAGCTTTGCTAAAATGTTGAATTCATCAGAATTCACATATACTTTGATTCTTTACAAATTGTCACTCATCCAATACAATTTCTGCAAGAATCACCTCCTATCTAAAATCATTAATAAAATTAGAGATTTTATTATGAGAAACTAAATTATCACACTTGACCATGCATTCAGAGTAGTGAATAAGTGTATTGATCTCCTTGCTCATCAAGTACCAAGTGTAACATCCTGATTTTTATATAATAAAGAAATTATGGAATTTAGGTTTTGAGGAAAAAATGATAATAATAGGAATTTATATTATTTGAGGTTATTTAGAAATAATATTATGATTAGGTATTTAATTATAAATTTAAAAATTTAAATTTAAAACTACATAAGCAATATTTAGTTAAGATATAATACATAAATAATTTTTTTTATGTGTGTGTTAAAAAAAAAGAGAAGGTAGAAGGAACAAAAAAAAGGGGGGGTGGAAGGTTGTTGTTTTTAAGTCCCACATTGGTTAGATGAGGGAAGAGAAGAGGTGCCTTCATGTATAAAAAGGAGGGGGTGTGTGCATTAGGAAGTATGAGAGGCTAAGATGCAATTTAGAGTAAATTGAAACTTTTGGCCTAAAGGTTTGAATAATTAAATTCAAACCTATAGTTTTTTTTAATATAATTTTGGGACTTACAATCTCATTTTTATATTATTTTTCTCTCTTCCTTTCACATTGCTCGGCGTTTTCTCGCAAGGGGGGATTATTTTCTTTTTCTTCAGGTATGTTCTAACTTTCCTGTTTAGATTAGCATTTAAAAATTTATTTAATTACAAAATTAATTTTATAGTTATTTTCTAAATAATATTAGCTTTCTAGTGATATGATTATTTTGTAGGATAGAGTAAATATTTTGATTAGGATTTTTCTATAGGATAGTTAATCTGATGATATGATAGATTAAAAATATAGGTTAAAACTCTTAGGGATATAATATATATTATATAATATTTTTTTGAGGTTGAAACTCATATTTGAGAATTTTTGAGTTAAAATCTAGATCTATATGGTTGAATTTATGTGGAATCTGAGATGTAGGGATAAACCTATGATTATTAAATATTTATTTAAGTATGAATAGGTATTTTTGAGGTTATAGAAAGGTGATTTGAGGCTTCAGGATAATTTTAAAATTTTTAATTTATTTTTGGACGAATTTTTAGAATATAGAAGGATGAAATTGTGATACTAGAAGTGAATTGAGGATAAAAAAATAGTTTATTAGAGTACGAGAATTTTAGAAAAGAATTTGGGAATTAAATGAGGCATAAATCTTAAATTAGTATTAATATGGATTATAGATCTAAGACTTTCTAACTCTTTAAATTAGAGTTATTTATTTTAATGTAAAATTAATATATAGTATTATGAAATAATTATATAGATTATATTGATAAAGATAGTGGTGAAAAAGGAGTTGTGAAGGGGAACTTGTTATTCAAGACACAAGGTAACCATTATTAATGTGTTGTGATGGGTGTGTTTGTGAATGGTTATGTGTTGTTTTGTTGTTTGGAAAAATTATGAATTATTGAAAATAAATACTGTTATATACTTCCGTGAAATCATTGCCAAGTGGGTTAAAAATTTATTTTTTGTTTATCATGATGAGATATTATTGTTCGGATATATTTCTGTTTAGATATTTGAATGATGCATGACTTGTCAGGGTATTTTAATGTATGGTGTTAATGGAAATTTCTGTTCGGTTAATTATTACCACATGGTAGGCCCTTATTGGACCCAATGAGTGGCGTGTCGCTTGGTCCAACTCACCTTTGGCCGGGTGATTTGGCGTCCGAGCATGGCGAAAGGAGGATATAAGGTGCAGTCATGCAAATTAAATACTTGTTCGGTTTATTTGAAAGTATTGTTCGGTTAAATGTTTTGTGTGCCCACTTAGCAATCGCATGATTAGTTACAATCACATGCATCATTACATATTAATTTTTGGTTACTGAAACTTTTAAGTTTCATTCCCCGTGGTTAATATTTTTACATGAGCGAGTCCGGCCGAGAAAGCACCAGAGGTGTAACTATGGTGTATGAAACACCATCTTTTACATTGCCTCTTATTTTGGATTATACAATGTATCTTGTGCCAACTTAGGACATATCTTCTTTGTGAAGCATGTAAACTCTAATCTTTTTTATTAAAAGTATTTATTTGACCAAGAGGATTATGTTTGTCCCTCTTGATTCATGACCTAATTTAAATATCATGCCATGAGGATCCTATCTGTCCCTCATGGTTCTAATTGCTTTTTGAGATATTTTAAGACCTGTGGTATATTGTCTTGGATGTATCATGGTAAGAAAATTTTCTACCATGATAATAATTTTAATAATTTATAAAAAATCGATTTGTATTTTTAAGGGTGTTACACCAAGAGGCAACTTTGATTTATTATCTATAATGACCTCCCTCGTCTCTTAGGATGCAAAGACTCAACAATTTTTGATATGATCTTCCTTTTTATTCCTTGCATGATTTTTTTATGGTTGTGTATTAAGAAAGAAAAAGATATTGGATATAGAGTATAATAAATTTTTAAAGTTAAAAATATTGAGGAGATCGAGGTGGCATTTGAGGCTCTCTGACTGTGTCATATATTTCTGAATGCAACTGACACAAAGGTCCCGCGAGCACATTTTTTTTATTGTTTATATATATATTAAGAATAATTTTACTTAAAACACAATTGAATATTAAATGTAAATATTTAATTTTGATTTGTTATATTATTAATGATTAATACTTTCTGCTAAACTCAAGTCGAGTGGATGAATACGTTCTAAAGTTGGAGCTTTCTATAAAAGACTTGTCACATAACATAGTAGCTGTAATCCATGTAATAAAAAAACCATACATCATTTAAAGGGTCCAAACAAAATTAATAATTAATTGCATGAAAACATTTTTTGACCAGCGATGCGAAAACGTATCTGCGTATATTCAGTGTAATTGTTTGTTTTATTATTTCCTTCAATGCAAACCTCATGAGAAATTTCAATATCAATGTTAATATCAATCATTAATATTGATATTCATATTGAAATGTCTCATTATAGTATAAGTGTATGACTTGGCAAAGCCATTCTGGATAAAACAAGGAGAAATTTTTATACAGAGTCAATGTATCATGATATTCATACGAATAAAAATATAATATTTATATGACATTAAAAATAAATTAATTATATCATTACTAATAATTGAGAAAAAATATAATAAATTAAATAAATATTTTATTAAAAAAATAAAATTATTAATGACATGATTATTGTTTATTGTTTTCCTAAAATAATTTACTTTTCAAGTCAAACCCATGATGATAAATTTTCAATTTTCTTCTACTTGGGGCTCCATCTTCAAACCACAGTAATTTTCCCACGGGATTAGGCTGCAACAAACTTGATCAACATTTGGCCTTCTTCTCTTCCTCTCCCAACCCATCACATTCCAGTTCTCTGCGTGTAAGTCTTCACTCACTCACTCACTCTATTAATTTCCTTCAGAAAATACCTTACTTGGGTTCTCAGAAAATTAACTTCGCACTTCTGACTTGTATTACGCTTCTGATCAGGAAATCAAATGGGCTGTCACAGCAGCAAGGAGAAAAAATCGAAGGCAGAATTTAGTGGCTATGGATCAGCCACGAGTAGTATTGGTAGTGGTAGTACCCATCAAAATTACAACGCTGTTCAGCATTTTTCAACGCAAACCCAGTCTCAGATTCGAACATCAGAATCCAAGCCCCAGCCGCCGCCGCCGCCGCCATCACAGCCGCCAGTGACAGTCCCGGCGAAACCCACTTCCCTGAATGTCAAACCTCCGCAGCAGAAGCCAGAAACCACGATTCTGGGAAAGCCTCTTGAAGATGTTAAGAAATTCTACACTCTGGGCAAAGAACTTGGTAGAGGGCAATTTGGGATTACCTATTTGTGTACTGAGAATTCCACCGGCCACACTTATGCATGCAAATCTATATTGAAGCGGAAGCTTGTGTCTAAAGCGGATAAGGAGGATATGAAGAGGGAAATCCAGATTATGCAGCATTTATCTGGGCAACCCAACATTGTCGAGTTTAAGGGTGCTTATGAAGATAGATATTCTGTGCACCTCATAATGGAGCTTTGTGCTGGTGGGGAGCTATTTGATCGAATCATAGCTCAAGGTCAATATTCAGAGAGAGCTGCTGCATCAATTTGCAGAGCAACTGTTAATGTTGTGCACATTTGCCACTTCATGGGGGTGATGCATCGCGATCTGAAGCCTGAAAATTTCCTGCTATCTAGCAAAGATGAGGGAGCGACGCTTAAGGCTACTGATTTTGGACTATCTGTATTTATTGAAGAAGGTGGAATCTTTACTTCTCAGTTTCAATTGTATACTTGTAATTTAATCACATTTATGCCGAAGTGGTCAACCCCTGTTATAAATTTCAATCATATTCTCGTTTCTTTGATTATTGGTTGGACATTTGGTGATGAAAATTAGAGAGATGCAAGAAAGTTGGTTCTTTTTATCTTCAATTTATTTATGGTTAATTTATCTGTCTCCCTGCAAATGAAGAAATTGTTGGGATTCTGGTCCTTGGCTCATTGCCTTGAATGCAACCCCGCTAAAATGCCATGCAGGGTTGTAGTTCTTTACTGGCTATTATATTTGCAGTGACCAATTGGTCATGTAGGTAACTAGGTATTCTACTGTTCTAATCGATAACTTCACTTCCTGGCGACTGTTTTTGATAATGAACAGAATTAGATTAAATGCATTGTTTCTGATTCCTTGCAGTAGCTGGTAATGGCATGTATACCAACAAGACTGAAAGCTGTCATCTGTTTTCTTTTCCGTTTCTCTCTCGTTTAATTATTTTCTGAAATTGATTTCAGGGAAGGTATACCGTGATATGGTAGGCAGTGCATATTATGTTGCTCCTGAGGTATTGCGTCGTAGTTATGGGAAAGAAATAGACATTTGGAGTGCAGGCATCATATTGTATATTCTCCTTAGTGGCGTGCCTCCTTTTTGGGCTGGTGAGACCAAATAGTTTTTTCCCCCAAACTTTTTAATGCTTGCAAATTGTTCTGCTTTTTCTCATTTTTGATTATTAAGATTTGAATTTACAATGGGATAAAAGAAATGTTGGTTTTGATTGCAGAAAATGAAAAGGGAATATTTGATGCTATATTGGAAGGCAAAATTGACTTTGAAAGTCAACCATGGCCCTCAATATCAGATAGTGCTAAAGATTTAGTCAGGAAGATGTTGACACAGGACCCAAAGAAGAGAATTACTTCTGCACAAGTTCTTGGTATGGTTAGATGACCACCCTCTACTTTGGGTCAACCAACTTCAGTCACTCTCATGCTCTTTTTTGATCAAATTTAAAGCTATGTTTTCTTTTGCTAGTTTTTGTTTACACTTTAGACTTTTTCTGGTTTGTTAATTATTAGAAATGTCAAAAATTCTCTTTGTCTGCTGCTGCTGAAGTTGTGTGCTATATAGTCAAAGGCAATGCATTGCTATGAGTGAAATCTGAGAGTACTGGTTTATGAGCTGAGCAAATGAGACAAAAATAATATACTCAGGTGAAATAATATGAGCATAGAATGTTGTCAAACCATTAGTCATCATGTAACAAGGTATTGTTTACACCTAGTTTGTCTGCCTTTTCTACTACAACTCTGTAACCTGACCATTAATGATGTTTTGTTTGGTAAGAACACCCGTGGATCAGAGAAGGTGGGGAGGCATCAGATAAGCCAATTGACAGCGCAGTTCTGTTGAGAATGAAGCAATTCAGGGCAATGAATAAGCTCAAAAAGCTTGCTTTGAAGGTTTGATATCAAATTCTAATCAGAAGCAACTCTGTTCAGTACTTGTTCATGGGTGCAAGAAATTGTCAAAGAACCCCCATTTTCTCTTTTGGGTTTAATTTCTACGCCCTGTCTTAGAACCACCCAATTTGTAACGATGTATGTATACTGATATTATGTGAGAACTTGTTCATATTAGTTTGTGACCTTTATTGTTTTCACTTAAAACTAGTTATTTTATCCTGTTTATATAGTCCTTTCAGCTAGTTTTTTCTTTGCACAAGTTGTAAATAGTAGATGTAGATCTTGTTACAAGTGTGCATGTATACACCTGGAAGACATTTAGAATTTTCTGATGCTAACAACTTTCTAGATCCTAATTTCATTCTGGCAACATTTCCTTGGTGCTGTTATAAACAGCAGCCACTTTCACCTTATGAGTTACATGTAAACTTAGTACTTCTTTGAGTAGTTCTCCATTATCAATTTGGCGGCAATTTTTGCAGGTTATTGCTGAAAATCTTTCTGAAGAGGAGATTAAAGGTCTCAAAGCAATGTTCACCAATATGGACACTGACAATAGTGGCTCTATCACCTATGAAGAACTGAAGACAGGTTTGGCCAGGATTGGATCACAACTGTCCGAGGCTGAAGTGAAGCAACTTATGGATGCTGTAAGTAGTAACACAACTCTCAAGAGCTCAATCAGCTGATCGTATGAGTAGTACTTGCGTCTAAGACTAAACTTGACATTATGGCCAAAAAAAAAAAAAAAAAGCTAAACTTGGCATTCTTGAACCTCTGTATGATATGGTTCAGGCTGATGTTGATGGGAATGGAACGATTGACTATATTGAATTCATCTCAGCTACAATGCATAGGCACAGACTTGAGCGAGATGAGCACTTATACAAAGCATTTCAGTATTTTGATAAGGATAACAGTGGGTGAGTACTTGATATCTTACTTTTGGCTGATTTCTGCTGTTAGTCACGTCACACAAATCTTTCGAGTTTTCAGCTGTTTTATCCTCTGTCATTATTCAGAAATTGATTTCTTCCAACGTTTCTATATAAAATTGAAAAGATTTGACCATATTTCTAGTCTGAGTCCATATCCGCCAGCTCTCTCTTTATAACTAACTTGACTACCACATTGTTTCCGTGGCCTGATTTTTGATACAGTACATCATGGATTTAACCAAACTAATAATAGACGTTTAAATTGGATTTTAATAAGTCGTGCCGTTTCAGATTTACTGATTTGAAGGTCTTGATAGCAGCAAATGATGCAATCTCAAAAACTGCTTCTCTGAATTTTCGGACAGGTATATTACTAGAGATGAATTGGAGACTGCTATGACACAGCATGGAATGGGTGACGAAGCGACGATTAAGGAAATAATATCCGAGGTGGATGCAGATAACGTAAGTTTGTTTGAACTTAATCATAAGAACTCTTTTTTAAAAATAAAGGTCATACTGTCACTGGTTTCTGTATTAACAGGATGGGAGAATAAACTATGAGGAATTCTGCACAATGATGAGGAGTGGAATGCAGCACCAAGGACCACTTTTCTAAAATTCAGTCACGGGAGGCTAAACCTTACAAAAAGCTAGGGGAATCACAATCGGAGCAGATATATTTAGCGACTGAATGTGCTGGAAAGAAACATTTTCTTCTCTGGGATTGTGTAACACAGCGGCATCACTCATAGATGATTCCATCAAAGTCGAGATCTCCATAACAAAGTTGGCTTTGTGCTTTCAGTTGCAGGGCTTAAAAGGCTTGCTTGGGGAAGGATCATTTTGTGAGCTTTCACAATTTTCTTTAGTGTCATCTTCTTAAACCCAAAATTTTTATGTTTATGAAACTTGAACCATGATATCCCATGACGAGCTATAATTTTTTTTCCTAAATAAGATGCGGCTGAGTAATGAGATTTTCAGGCGAGGGAGCTGATTTCCTTGACTTTTATGGAAGTTAAAGTTCTATGTTGGCTGACTGTTTATGGTAACATCATGTGTGGCTACCTAATCATCGGACTAGTTCTGGACTATGTTCTGCATAAAAATTTGCCAGGTTTCATTTTCGAGATCTTAAAAGTGACAAAAGTCAAGCCTTTGAAGAGGACCCCAACAATCCAACTCAGTTTTTTCCCCCTTCCTCCTCTTAAGTCAAGTCTTTGAAGGTCTTTCTTCCTTTTCATAGAAAGATTCTTCAACTGTAGCTGCTGCTTCTTTTTTCTTTTTCTTTTTTAAAAAAACTTGAACGACTCTGTGTGCGTGATGCTGAAATATAGGTTTGGCCATCTTGGAGAGAAAACACTCCAGAAGACTGACCATGATAAAATGTCACTAAATCTCGTTGACACGATCCATCTGTTTCAAGAGGCTTGTGATGTGTAACAGTAAGATATATGATATCAAGACAGGTTAATGTGGGGTGCAAGAAATATAAATAATTTCAGCATACTTAAAACCTAGGCATACATTTAAATTTCACAGCGGTGGAGAATTTTTATAGCATCTGTTTACTGTAACAAGATAAAAATTGACATAATTTATAATGAAGTTGTAAAATTTTTGTGACGTTTTTTGCAACAAACATTGCAAATTCATTGCAAATCTATCACAAAAAAAAAAATAATAATTTTGTGATGTCCTTATTGGTAAACCAGGTTCCAGTTGCAGAATGCCATTTTAGGTTCATATTTCTTTTTATGAAAATAATTTTTTTAGTCACCCAAATAAAAATATATTAAAATTGGATTCGTAGAAAGTCAGTTTGTACCTTCCAACTGATAGCCAATCACACGTTATGTCTTTTTTTTTTTTTTTTTTCTGGGTAAGATACACAACACATTATATCATTTGCTTGTGCCATTAAGCATGCCTGATGTCTCTTTATTTATTTATTTATTTTTGGTTTAGCTCTATTTTTTGTCTCAAAGAGACAAATAAAAAGAGTATAATTTGAAAGAGACGTGAAACTGATAATTTCAATCACCGAAAGAAAAATGTAGTCACTGTTGTCAAGAAATGAAGGCATTGAATGGCAAATGGCTTCAAAATGGCTGGTGACTTGGCAACAATTAGCCAAATTATCCGGTACGTATCAACACTACGTACTGAGCCACATAAGCATTAGGATTTAGGAGGATTATTTTGCTTACAATTGTAATTAAGTATGAGGATTAAGCATGTAAACAGTGTAAGGACAAGTTTAAAATCTTGTAAGCTATAGGGACTAATATGTAAATTAATGTAAATTACGAGGTTTGCTGTTATTATTTGTTATTGGAGAAGTGCTTACACACACACACACACAAATATATATCATTAAATGAAGGAGGGTTCTTGCTTTATTTATTGAAAAAATGATAATAAAATCCTTTTAAAATATATAAATGATAATTTGATCTCTTAAAATGTTATAATTTCAGTGAAGTCTTTAGAAATTTTTTTTTGTCATTAATGAATTTATATAAATAACTAAATTGTCCTTCTAGAAAATAAAATGATTCACAAGTTTTTTTAAATAATTACAACTTTTCTTTTTATATTCATAACAATATAATTTTACAATTTTGCATGTTAAATTTTTAATTTGTCATTGTATTGTTACGAATATAAAAAGAAAATTTGTGATTATTTAAACAAAACATGTGAATTATTTTATTTTCAATAAGGGTAATTTGATCATTTATATAAAATCATTAATGATAAAAAAGTCTTTAGGAACTTCAGTGAGATTATGTCATCTTAAGAGACCTAATTGTCATTTATATATTTTAAAAAAATTTATTATTAATTTTCCTTATTTATTTATGCCGTAGCAGTATGGGAGAACTAAAGTGCCATGTAGGTGATATTTCTTGGGGTAAGCATAAGCTTAAGTAAGGGAGGCAGAAATATCAGATGAGTAATGAAAGAAGATTTGTTTAATAATCGTTAAAGAGGGAAAGGAAGGTATCCTATGTTGCAGCTTCATATTCCCAGCCTACTCAATTTTTATATTAATTGTACACTAATACTCTTCTATTGAAAGTATGATTGGATATTACATATCATGGTACTAAAAATTAAATTGATGATTAAACCAATCAAAATATTGGTTCAAGAATTAATAATTAAAATTATAGCCGGATCATAATTAAATCAATCATAAATAAAATATTTTTATTAAAGCAGTCAAATATTAATTTAATAATTTACTAATTCAATCAGATAAATTGACTTGAATTTTTATAATATGTTAAATGCGAGCATATTTTATAATAAAGATTTGTTACCTAATTAGCCAGTACAGCGATGATGCACGTGAGGTTCTTTTTTCGGTTGATTATACATGCACGTGTGCACCCTCTTTCTTTATTATTTTGGAAATGCCACTCCTAGTGTCTTCCACCAGCACGCTTCAAAGCAGAATTTTTGGTATACTGATAAAAATATCGATTTAAATTATTGTTGAACGAAAATTAAATAATGTTTAAATGAAACAGTGCCTCGGATGCTCCTATCATGCTGTTACTTGGGGCAACATCGCCAGTCACCACGCCTTGCATAACCTGACAATCCCATTTTTATCTGCTCTCACTTTCTGACTTCTCCTTCACATTTAAAACTTCACCCCCTTAATGCTGCTTTAATTTGCTTTCTCCAAATTATTGCACTAACATACATTACTTAATCATTCTTATTTTTTCATTAATGATTTGCATTCTGCTATCATTTAGGTAAACTTATTATTATCTTCAACAGAAGTTATTTGGGTATGTTAGGAAATGGAGAGAGGCCATCTGGAAGCATAGGGAGAATAAATGAACTGAGAAGAGTAACAAAATGATATCATATTTTAACTCAAAATATTAAAATTTAAGTTTATAGATCATTCCATCTTATTATAGATTAATTATAATCATAAGTTTATCTGATATGATGCTTCTCACATCGACTACTCAAATATATTTACATCTAGAAATCCTAACAATGAAATAACAGCTATTTACAGGTAGCCAATGTATTGTATTTTTATGTAGTATGTGCAGTGGCCCATTTTGTTGACTCTAATTATATAAGTTTCCGCGAGAACTGAAGCAGGAGCAACCTGTTTTATGAAAGATGTTGTATTTTTATTGTAGTATGAATATGAATTGTAGACAGCAAGTGTGGGCCCGCAGGACAGTGGAAGAGGAAAGAGGGCGGACGAGACGCACGTGGTTATGCATGCCTTCCTTGCTCCTCACCCTTCTATTTATCATTTCCTTTTGCAAGCAAACAAAACGCCGAAACTGAATCAACAAATTAAAGTCTTACCCAAAATTCCAACACAGTTCTCCTTTGCAGTATTGAGATCACTATATTTATCATCTTCCTCTATCCATCAACGTCATTCATAGATGGCGTCTCCTTCTTCTTCTGCTTTTCTCAGTCTCTCATGAAACCTTTTCTTCCGATCACAGCTGTTTGACTTGTGCCGACCTTGTTAAACAATATGTGCCTTATGAAATGACTTTCAAGTCATGGGTTTTCTGCTTCTTTAGTCCTTCAGGAAATTTTCTCTGAATAGTTCCTTTTTTTTTTACAGGAGATTTTGGTCATAAGAAGTGTTTTATTGAGGTTTCTGTTAAAGTGTGTCTCTGGCTTTACGTAACTTGTTGTCTACATTTTGAGATTGAGACAGAATCATTGATTGCTTTTTAAATGGTGGAGCTTCAATCTCGTGCTACCTTAGTGAATGTCTCTGCTTTGTCCGCCGAGTTGCAGAGAGAGAGACAGAAAAATGCAGAGCTGATGCGGAGAATATCAGTACTGGAAGCTCAGATACGAGATAGAAACAAGAAGGAAGAAACTATTCTAGTCACAGATATTGGACAAGTATGATATACTATGTATCCTGTTTGCATTATTGCGTTTATGTATTATGAGCATTAATGTGTGTGCTGATTCCCGTCTTCTCATTTTGACTCATCAACGTTACTCATCACATTTCATCTTAATCCTCTGATCGCTGTAAGGGAAAATATAGAAGTAAAGATGGGTTCTGGTCCTGTCCCTTTCTTGGTTGTGTTTTAGATTTATACAGTAACAACACTCTTCTACTTGCTTCAGAATAGTCTTTTATCATCAGCTAGAAATGCTAAAGCATGGATATTAATTAGATTTTTCATGATTGGCTGTGGAGTTGACGCAGTTTTTAACAAGAATCGAAGCCTTCACAATTAAGTGGTCAAAAGCTCAATACTTACAGCTCTATTTTATTAGTTAAAATTAAGTTTCAAACTAAGTTGTGGTGGATCAAGCTCAAAGGGCTTGTGTAAGAGATACAGATTAGCCATAATAATAAGGCCAATCATCGCCCTTCACTTTATAGTTTAAGCTTAGTTAAAACAATGATTTATCCATGATTATCAATTTTTTCAGCAGTTCTATTACTAAATGTGAGCACCTCAACTTGGTGTCAGGGGAAGAATGAAGCGGCAAGCAACTACAAGAGATCCAAAAGGAGGAAACTGGAAATGGTGGGTGATATCAAAGAGAAGGGCAACAGAGAAGATTTCAAAAGTGATATGACCTCACAGAATAATGCTGCTGAAAGAAGCTTGGTCAATTGGATGAGCATAGATGACACCCAAAATCTTCACCTTGAAAAATTCAAAGATAGTGATTGTGCTGGAGATTTTGATGAAACTGATAGTGATGATAACTATGATGATCATGACCACATAGATAATGGCCACAGAAATGCAGAAGTTGATGTTAGACAAGAGGAGCATGAACATCAAAAGATGAATGAAGTCAAAACACATGAAGAGACAGAAATTGAAGAGACCGAGGGTTATTACTGTACAGCAGCACCACAAGAGGCTCGATCATCAGGATTTACAAGTGTACCAAATAGAAACCGTCTGAAGGTAGCTTTCTGCCCCAAGGAAGTTAAGAGTATACTTGAGTCTGAAGTCCTGTTACAGAAAAATGCTCAGTCTCACACTATAAGGAAAATCATAGTTTTTGCATCACTTGGCATAAGGCATGGGTGTGAAGATATGTGTGAGCTAGATTTCAACCATTTTAGCATTTTGAAGAAAGGAGAACCATACATATCTCCTAGGAACCCTGGGGTAAGAGACTGCATTTACTTAGATTCCAACGTTGTTTTAGCTTACATTACTGAAACTAGGGATAATGTCTTAATTTGAACCAATTAAGCTTTTTCACCTTTCAAATATGCTATATGGACTTTGCAAGTTCCTCTATCTGGGTGAGAATAATAAGATTTGGATCAACATTTGATAGATGGTCCTATTGCCACTAAATATCCTGTTCTCTTTTGTCATCTCAGTAGATAACTTCTCCGAATTGATTTGGCCATGAAAAGTGAAACCATGACCTTCATATTTTCATTCAAAACTTTCACAAGAAGAAAGTAAAATCTGTTTGCTTTAACAGCAGCATATTTGTTATCTTGGTAATGGCATGTGAAGTTTTCAGTGCATGGCAATTTCACCTTTCTTCAAAATATCGACCAGGACAATAATGACCATGAGCTTTTGAATGAGTGTAGTTCATCTCGATAACAATTTGGACTATAATGAATATTTTGCTCACAAATTATAGCCTGTCTGTACAAAGCAAAGTCCGTTTGTGTTTACATCTAACTTTCAGATTTTTCTTGCGTAGGTTCAGCCTGCTTTTCCATTATTCTTAGGAACACCCAGTAATTAAATGGTAGTTGGCAGCTATAGATATCATATTTATTTGAAGCTTGTGCACCTTGTCACTAGTTGAAGTTCTCATTTTTTTATAGATAATTTTTAAATTTTTATATATCTATTGGCTAGTTTAATTTTAGATGGCGCTAAATATTTGTCTTCTGAAAATGTGAAGATTTCTATTTCTATGCAGGAACATGTTTTATATGAGAATCCTGGTGTTCGAAGGAAAATTTTCTACCCAAATAGAGAGAATCCAATATTATGTCCTGTTCAGATACTTGAGGAAGAAAGACTCATGCGTCCATCTGATGCTAGTTGTCCTTCATGCCTATTTTTGTGCATTAAGTATGGTGGAAGAACAAGAAATCTTCCCCAAAATGAGTAAGTTTTACCCAAGTAAGGGATTCAAGCATTTACACATTATGCAGAACATTGCAAAAGTCAACCATGTATTGTTGAGTTATAAGGACCAAAGATCTCCACATGTTATAGTTTTATTGAAGAAGATGAATGGTTTAAGAACTTGAATAATATATCTGTTTGAAGAATAATCTGAGTTTGATTTTGGATTGAATCATTCCAGGTATGTGAGGCAGAGGATGGGAAGGAACAAATTGAAGTCTTTTGGACCAATGATCTGCAGAATGGCAATTTTGGCTCATATTCGGAGCGGTAGCTTTTTCTTCAAGGCCTTAGGCATCACACTTCTGTTCATGGCAGGGTTTCCTGATAATATAGTTCAGAGAGAAACCAAATACCGGAACCTAGACTTGCTTCAGAAATATTACAGGTTCTTCAAATAAATATACTGCAAAAATTTAAACATAATCATGGATAGAAACAGCAACACATGAATTATGCAAATATCTTCCCATCAGAAGAAAACATGAACAGAGATTAACCTATTTAAGAGACCTTAGGGAACTTATGGTCTGGCCCTGCTGAAAGAGATTCAATCAATAGAAGATAAGTAACTAAGTCAATCATGTATGAATACGTAAAATTGCTAGCAAATTCTTCAGTGAGGCCCACTTTAACATGGTAACATATTTATTCTTCATTGACTTGTTCCACTTATCTTTGGTAGATTGATTCTACCTTGAAATCTCTCCTACTTTTTTCCCCCAATTTAACGCACACAAAGTTTCTTGTCACAGGAAAGATGAAGATGCTGCTGAAGAGGAGCTGTTTCTTCCACGTCCAATTGCATGTGACAATGTAAGATTACAGATCCCAAACTATACCTGTGATCTGATTCGAATGCGGCTCCTTAAATTTGTACTTCTGTTTGGATTAAGTTAGTTTAATACCGTGACAAAACATTACAAAGTGACCATCAAGCCTCAACTTTTGATTAAACATCGTACCCAGAACAAAATTGAGAATCCATTTCTTGCATTTAAGATAGAGTAGCTACAATGTTTGTGTTAAGTTCATTTCCAAACCACCGATGTTTGTGTTAAGTTCTTAATGGCGACAAGTTCTACTTTTTCTTGTTCTAGCACGTCACTGCTGAAACTCAGAGTTCAACCAGAAAGTCACTTCTTGCTAAAGCTGGAGGAAAGAAACACACAAACTCCATGAACAGGTCTCAGAGCTTACAGATACAGATGAAGACTTCAGCAGGACAGTCAATCCCCGCAAGTTCAGGACCCTCTCAATTTGGCCTGACTGGTTATTCCTCTTCTCACACTTTAGCTATGGCAGCATTTCATTCTGCTATCCCATCCCAGATTTCTCAAAATACTTCTCAGACAACAAACAAGCATGCCTCATATCAGATGCTGCCTCCGCAACCAACAAGTGCTTACGTGCCTCTAGTGTATTGGCCTCCACCACCAAGTACATTTCCTTTTGCTTTCCTTCTGCTGCAAATTACATCTCCTTCCAGTCACAGCCTTACTTCAATCATCCAACCTATAGTTCCTCAGTGATGACCAAGTTATTAGAAGGAAGTGGAAAGAATGAAGTGGCCTCTGATCAAATTGACAGTGACTCTGACAGCAGTAATCCAGGTGGCGTCCAGGAAAAGCAGAGATCAAGTACCTGCAACTGCAAGTAGTGAAAATGTTAAATCTTTTATGTCAATGTGCTACTAGTCTCTAGAGTTGTTGTCAAATTTTAATTTAATGTTTATCATTTGAAAATTTGTAATTGGATCTCTATAATTCTTCTTCTTTTGTTAAAATCTTTATCAATGCGCATGGATGATTGATTCAAAACCACTCGTGCGTGATACATGCCAGCACGTCAACAGAATACATGTTTGGTTTACATTGAGAACCATCAAAACTACGGTTTTGATAGAAGTTTTTTTTTTTTTTAGTTGGCCCAAAAAAAAAAAAAGAATAGAAGTATGGTTTTGATGGTTTCTTCTGTGAAACCAAGCACCCTCTAAGTAACTATAATAAGTGATTGTTTGGATTTTTGGTGATCAAAAGATAGTTTGACAAAAACTTACGTAACAAAAGTCAATTTAATAAAAATTAACTATTGTAATAAAATTTGTGTTTAAATATATTTTTTAAAAATTATTTTGGTAAATTAAAAATTAATTTGATTATATATGATGAAAAGTGCTTTTTGAATGTAAAATTATGAAAAAGACATTGATTTTTATGATTTATAATTTTTGTTGTACAAATACAATATATAAAAAATATTTGAAAAATATAGGCAATAAAAATAGTAAGGTAGTCAAGAGTCTTCGCCTTGCGTTACATAAATGTACGTCTTAAAACCTCTTAAAACTCTGTTTGGGGAAAAAATTGTTCCAAACAACATTAGACTTCTTAAAAGTGGAAATGACTTTCTGAGTGGTAGATGTTATGTTACCAAACAGGTCCTAAAATTGATATAAATCATTAAAACCTTTGACAATGAAGCCGCAGGAACCCGTCTCAGTCTTTTTCTACCTCGTTGGTGTTGAAGTTTCACGTCAGGAAAGAAGTAATACGTGCTTTATATGCACTGCATCTAGAAAACGACGTCGTTTTATTATTTTACCTTTTTTTTTTGGGGTAAAAAAAACCCTAATCTTAAAGTCGTCCGCGCTGTGTGTCTATCTGCAATGATCCAGTCTTTACTCTTTAGCCTTCTCTTCTTCCTTCGCTTCAGGCGCCGTTTTTTCGCCAGAGAGAACTTCGAGTCATCCGAAATCTGTCACCCTTCAACGTCTTTGGCACCATCATCTATTTTTCGATCCTTGATAAATCTCCTTTTTTTTTTTGGGCTGCGTTCCAGGTTCATTTCCCATTTTCTGCACTATTCTGCCACACTTTACGTGTTGAATTCAGTATGCTTTTTTTGTTTCTGAATTCTGAAACTGGAAATTGCTTTTTAATATACCCACCTTAGTTTTCTTTCTTTAATTTTTTAATTCTAAAACTGAAATTGCTTCTGGATTTTGTGCTATTCTTTTTTTAATTTTGCAAGTTAAGAGAATAAAATATTTGTTTAAGAATTTAATCAGGAGAAACATCTACATTGGGAATTAATATTTGTGATTTTTAATTTTAAATAGCATTTTCATGCTAATGTAAAACTTTGATTAATAGTTTTAAAATATATATTATTTAAAATATATTAATTTATTGTTGATTGGTTTGATCAATCTAGGTTAGATATTTGGTTTGTTTTTTAAAACGTTGTGTTTGATAGAGGGGAGGAAAATTTTTTTAAAATTTCCTTTCCTTCTAACAAAGCAAGGTCTAATGACCCGCTTGATTTTCTTATATTTTACATTTAAGAAGTAAAGTTTTATTTTTAAAATGTTGAAAATTATTTTAATAAAATATTTTATAGAAAAGCACATCTTAAAAATATTTAAATAGTGATTAAAAGTGAATTTAAAAAATATAACTATTTAAGACTTTTAAAAAGTAAATTTAAAAAATAAGATATTATTGAATCATATTATCTCAAGTTTAATTTTTATTTTTTTATTTAAAAACAGTTAATTCATTAAAAATATAATTATAATTTTAATAATAATATTATTATTATGTATCAATTTTTAGTATTATAAATTAGATAATTAATCATATTAATTTTTAGCATTAATGTATAATGAAAGTTACAAAATTTTATCATATTTTATAAAATTATAAATTATAAATTATAAATAACTAGAGATCAAGTTTTTAGCATTATAAATCAAATCTTATATTATTTAAAATATTTATCATATTTTTTAAATATTTTAAATACATTACAAATGTATAATGAATATTATAAATTATCAAAAATTAATGTCCTTTTTGATAATTATATATTCAAAAGTATATTTTTTATCATAATTCAAACAACTTTCAGTATAATAAATTAACTTTTGAAAAACTATATTAAAACATAAATTTTATTATAATAACTAATTTTCACTAAATCAATTTTTGTTAAATGAACTTTTGACAATTTGAAAACGAAATACATACTAAGTAATTTCTATATTATGTTATGTATTGCTCTCTCTAATTTTTATTATAAGACATCTTCAACTATTTTACACATTTTAAAAATTTTTTTTTATATTATAAAAAAATGATATGTACTTTTATTTTTATCTTTGATTTTAAATAGAGATACAATTATATTAAATATCATTACATTAATTGAGAAAAGGATAAAATTAAAAAAATAATTTAATTATGTAAAGCATTATACATTTTAAATCAAAAATTACTTCTGAAAGGTGTTTTATAAATAAAACTTGAAAGAGTATTTTGAAAGGAGTTGAATCTAATTAAATAAATCATAATAGGGTAGAATAATATCAGAAGAGACTCCAATTTAAAGAATATGTACATTATCAAATTCAAGTTGATAGGGGCATTTTGATTCTTGAATTTTATGAAAAGTAATCTATATAATTATATATTGCTTTTCTCCAAGTGTGAGCTTGCCTTCATTGTATGTCGTGTGGATTGCACAACTCTCTAAGCTACATACTCTCTTCAGCTAACACATTTTCTCTCCACCAAACACTGATCTCAGCATGCTATGTGGTAATTATCCTAATTTATTTTAAGGAAAATAATACAATTTATGATAAACTTTTTATTGATATAAAATTAATAGGCAATTATTGTTCAAACGCCGACTGTGAATGACGGTCTCGATTTTATTCCACCAGGAGCGGCCCAGATTGCTCATCTCGGAACGGCGTCGTTTATCATTAGTGATTGGCTCCTAACCGTGTCGCGCGCTGCATTGTGGGGACGAGGAGCCCTCGTGAGAGAACGCACGGAGAAGGAGGGAAAATGTCCGTTTCTCAGGAACTATGCAAATCCAAGAGCAAGCAAACGACAACGTATTGCTGCTTCAACCTTTAGCTCCTCCACGGCACTCCGGCAGTCTTTTGGTGCAGAAATTCGGTCCGGAGTAGCTTCGCAACTCGTCGCAGGTAAATGCCCATTCTTGATCTCTATTTTGTTCACTCTCTGCTTCTCTGTATAATTCACACTTGCTTCACGATGTTCTTGAGATTGTCGCTCTAGATTGCTAGGGTTTATGACTTGGGCTATATTGGCCATTATGAAAACTGCAATTCGCTCGCTTCTACCCCTTGAATTAATTATGATCAGTGCCTTAATACAATTCAAAGGGAGTATTGGGATTTATGTCGTCAGTTTGGAACTAGAATTTTTTCCGGACTGGTGAATTTAGTACACTTTACGCTGGAAAGTCATGTTGCGACGTCCTTGACGGGTTTAAAAACGGGAGCGCCGTGTTTATTTCCTTTGGGCTGTGGAAGTGGCAATTGAAATCCTCTGATATTGGTGTACGCTGGCAACGAACCAATGTGTGCCTACAAAGCTGTCTTGGTTTGGAAAAATGTGGCGGGGTCTGTTACATCATACATAGCAAATGGTGCTTCTGAACTGTTACTTGCTATATATTCCTATAATTATTATTGTTATTATTTTCTGACTGAAGCAACGGTTCGTCTTTGTTTAAGCATGTAATGATCACACTCATGCACGAGTAAAGCTGATGCCCACTGATAGCTTTGTTTAATCAATTTGAATTTACACTCCACAACACCATTAATTACATTAGTACATTAGTCTAAGCTACTTTATTACAACTTTTCTTTTTACAGTTTGTTTATTTCATTATTTCATTTTTTTCCAATGAGATTAGAGTAGTATGCGAATGCGATGATTGTCAAGGGTACATTAACTTATAGGATCAGAGATTGGTCTCTTCTGTGATCAATCAAAGTCCTTGCCTGATATTTACTCCCTGAGAATTGTGTTGTCTATATTCGGTAACTGCTATGTCACTCTTATTTGGGTGAAAGAAGTGTGCTTTCCTTCTTCATAGGGAACAGGAGGGTGCTGGACAAGCAAAGAAGTTCATAAACTTTGTGAAACCCTAGAATTTTTGTTAGTACTAATAGTTTCCTTGGCATTGGCCTCAACTTTTAAGATTGGAGTGTACTTGATGTGAATGGGTTTGACTACTACTCTTTCTGCCCTCCCTCACCACCCCCCATTCCTAGGTCACAAAAATTGGAGGGCTTCTTAGTTCCTTTGTAACCCAACAAATTAAGAAACAAAAAAGAATCTGTATCCATTGTTTTACACCCATATATGCTTTTGTCCAAAAGTTTCTCGGAGAACAAGACCAATTTATCCCATTCATGTGGTAAATTGGGAGATTTCACAAATTACTTTCACCTTTCATCTCTTTCTTTTGTATCTTTGGTAGCATTTGCATTTGGTAGAAAACCAGCATGTTCAAAATTGAAATTGATCTCATTCATTTTAGATGTGACGGCCTTTGGATTATGAATGCACAATAATTACATAGATGCTTGTGCATTACATACTATCTCTTGAGATTTTTAATTGTTCTTGGCTTTTGCTTTCTTCAGGGCCTCTAGTGATTTCAACCTCTGTATGAATACTTTTTCCCACAAGCACTTTCGAATCCTCTAAGGCTCTTTAGAATAAGAAATAACCATATATTGTTTGTTTAAGATGCCCTCTTGTTCAACTGCACAGTCAACAAATGTTGGTTGTGCCAAGGATTGGAGTATGTTGCATTCTACTGATAGCCATGAAAGAATTTTGAAACCTGAGGAGGCACAAACTGAGGAGGAAGAGGAGGAAGGAGACGAGGAAGATGCAGATTTCAATCCTTTTGTAAAGGAAACCCCATCACAAGAAGCATCTTCAAGTTTGAGCTCAGAGGTTGATGGTGTGGATGGTGATGCTGTCAACAGCATTTTACCTGTGGATATGAATTTATCGAAACTAACCACTACAGAGCAAATATGTGCTGTTGAAGATTGTGACCATGGCGAGGAGGAAATTGCAATGCATTCATCACTTTCTGAGGATGGGACATGTGAACAAGAATTGCAAAAGAATGCTACTTGCAGTTCTAAAAACAGAAAACCAGCTTCGAATTCTGAATCAGAAACTAATCAAGAGAAGGACAATGGCTTAAGTAGTAAGACTGATGATTATGCATTGAAGATTGGAGAATTAAATAATGCAACAAAACCCCAGAGTCTAGTAGTAGAAACAGACGATAATGACGCCATCTGTACTCGCACTAGAGCCCGCTATTCGCTTGCAAGTTTCAGTCTTGATGAACTCGAGACTTTCCTTCAAGAGAGTGATGATGATGATGACCTTCAAAATGTTGATGATGAAGAAGAGTATAGGAAATTTCTTGCAGCTGTGTTACAAGGTGGAGATGTTGAAGGTCCATCCCCTCATGAAAATGAAAATGTTGATGATGAAGATGAGGATAATGATGCAGACTTTGAGATCGAGCTTGAAGAATTACTAGAGAGTGATATTGATGAAAATGAAGCAGTGAAAACCCAGAAAGAGCATGAAGGAGCTGCACGACGACCTGAGACTAGGCAAAATCGGCGCCAGAAGTCTTCTTCTCATTGTGATAAGAAGACTTTAGGACTGGCTAAGAAGCCATTGCGGCCCATTTTGCCAAATTTGTCTAATGGGCCGCTTGCTTCAGGGAAAGTTCTGATGCCCGATGTTACTTTGAGCTTTCAGTCTTCTGCTTCAGGAAATGGTCTTGTAAATGGGTTTACCCCTCAACAGATTGGTCAATTGCACATTTTGATTCACGAGCATGTGCAGCTTCTTATTCAGGTATTTTCATTGTCAGTTTTTGATCCTTCACGGCAGCAGATTGCTTCTCAGGTTCAAGATTTGCTTTTTGAGTTGCTTCACAATCTCGACAAAATAGTATCTTCGAAAAGTGTGCCATATCCTAGCATTTGCTTTTATCCATCAAATGTTTCCTCATTAGTCGCCAATGGAGGTCAGCATGACATAGAATCTTCTGGTACATATGGTGCACAGAGAATGTTTCTTTCCCAATCAAATGAGCGTTCTTCTGAAGGAAGATGTGGATTCAATTCGAGCAGGTCAAATTCTTCTCAAGACACTGAGGGTTCTTTACAGTTATCTTCTGTCAGAGGCCCTATAATATCTATTCTTGATGTTGCTCCACTTAATTTAGTTGGGAAATTTGTAGATGATGTTCATTATGGTAAGTCATATTAAAGATGTCAAGTGTTTTATGTGCTTTGCTGTTACATTCTGGTTAAGAAGAGTGATCTTTACATATTTAGGCATTGGATTGCAATTTTGCAGCTATTCAAGAGTGTCGGACCGTTACTTGAAATCTGGATGTGATATGCATGCCGAGAAGGAACCTCTCTTTCCTTGTTTTCCATCATTAACCAGTGCTACTAATGAAGTTTCAAGTGGAACACCCTTTGCAGCTGTTAATGTGGTCTCAACTTCACCTGGTCAGCAACAGCCTAAGAAAACATTGGCTGCCATGCTTGTTGAAAGTACAATGAAGCAATCAATCGCTTTAGTACCTAAGGAAATTGCTGGGTTAGCTCGAAGATTTCTGCCTATGTTCAATCCGGCATTATTTCCACATAAGCCACCCCCACCAGCTGTTGTAAATAGGGTGCTGTTCACTGATTCAGAGGATGAGTGAGTTGCAGTTCTTCTCTTTCTGAACCATCTGTATTGAATGCTTTTCTGGTCATGATTCTTGATCTTTATTCTGCTCAAAGGTCTTAACTTTTTTGCCTTGAGCTTGTTGGTTAACCAGTTTTTTGTTTGTAATTTATTAGCCCTATCTTTAACCTTACATGTATGTGCAACAAGACGACCTTGCTATGATGAATCATCCTAAAGGAATTTTTAGTGCATTTGTTCTTCATCATCTCTTCTTTGCTAATTTTTTCCTTTCTTTCTTTTTGATTGTTTTTGTGTACTTTCTTTACCTTTTAAACTATTCTTGCTTTTCCTTGTCTTGTAAACCAGACCTATTCACTTGTAATGAAATTCCTTTTTCTATAGAATGTAAGATAGCCTATTCTAGTCCTATTTAGGTGTAAGACGACCAACTAATGTTTTTTCTGTCCTTTTAATATATACATTCCCTTTGTTTTCTTAGTTGACTTGGATTTTTTGCATTTTTTTTCCTTGTTATTACTGCTTTTTATCCTCCTGGTTTACAAGAAGCTCATGGAGTTGACATTTCTCTCTATGATCTTATTACAGATTACTGGCCTTAGGGTTATTAGAATATAATACAGATTGGAAAGCAATTCAACAACGTTTTCTTCCCTCCAAGTCTAAGCATCAGGTGATTATTACTATTGATTATGCTTTCTAAGAACAAATTTTGCTGCATTTATTGGAGGAGAAGTTGAAGCCTATTCATCTTGTTTTTACTTTAATCCTCTTGTGAGCCAACAGAGACTCCATCAATTTTCAAACATATCATGCATGCTGAGCTTGTGTGACTTGGTTTTCTTCCTGAAGATAACTTGTCTGATTTGTGAACGTTCTCATCCATGTAGCCGGCCCCACTTAGTGGGATAAGGCTTGTTGTTGTTGTTGTGAACATTCTCATCTGAAGAAAAGTTTATAGGTATTGCTTGGCTGTTTGTTTTTTGAACATATAAATCATGTTCACGGCATGACATGATATTATTTATTTGTAGATGGATTGAGATGCTTTTAAAAGCTTCAAAAATCTTTTTTAAATAATTTTATTGCTATTCAGTATAGTACATTTTACACTTATCATATCATGGTGATTTTGTTCTGTGATTTTGATGGTTCATTATCATGATGAAATGCAAATTTCTGCTTCTTTTGTTTTGGTTTGTGCTGAGCTTTCGGTTTTAGATGTAATGTTTAGACAAGCAGATTCATTATAGCGGTGAAACTTTGTGACTGATCTAATATGATATGGGTTCATTTGATTACAGATTTTTGTCAGGCAGAAAAACCGCTGCTCTTCTAAAGCTCCAGATAATCCTATAAAGGTGAATTCAAGTGCTTAAATTATATGATGAGTTCACACTGATGAATGTATTCTTGTTTATAGTGGTAGATAGAGTAAATTTTGTTGATGAAAATCCAAGGTATTGTAAAACATTTTTTGTGTTGTTGCAGTCCTCCCTCTCTCACTCTCTCTCCCCAAAAGACCAAAGTTTATTCTGAAGGTAACTCACTGCTGGACAGTGACAAAATAAACACGGCAAATTTTCTGACTCAGATTTTCACATTATTCACTTAGGGGGAAGTGCTCTATGGAGCCATCAAACAGGCTTGTTGTTACTACTTACCCCATTGAGAATTGCTGTCAAAAAAATAAATTACTTTAGGAGTTTTGGTTTCCAAATTGCTTATCAAGAGCAATATACTAGACCATAAGTCATCCGCTGGCATCCCCCTTTTAATGATATTTCTTCTTCTTGAAATCCTAGATTATTGATTATTCTTCAGCCAGAACCTCTTCAACAATTTCTTCTCTAACCAGCACCCTGAGAAACTCATAACTTAAAGATTTCCCTTTTCCCTGCTGCTTCAATGATTGATGTTATAAAAACCAGACTAGACCAACTGGTCGAATCAGAAAATTGGTGAACAAGGTCTGGTCTAGTCTGTACAAGACGAAAATCAGTCAAGGCCTGGCATGACCGGTCAAAAACCAGTGAAACCAGACCAGTTCAGAGAAAACTGGTTTATAAAAATGAAACTGAAGAAGTTGAGCCTTATTAATTCATTGGAAGTCAAGTCCAAGTGCATGTAGACCTGCCACCTTAATTTCATTCTTTTTCAAGCAAAACCACTTCCACCTTGCTCAACTTTATAGATGATATCCATTATGCATACAAATGAAAAAGTTAAAATTTTTGTGGATGATTCTTGGGGTATAAGTGAAGTAGATGATGGTCTAGATTCCACCGCATCCAAATGAATTGATGGTAATGAGCAGAACCTCTCTGGTCTTGACTAAGGCAAAAAAGAATCTAGTTATATTATTACAAGAGTCTAATTATATTATTCTCTTTGTTTCTTTTTATTTCTTGACCAAGTCATGTAAGAATCTAATGCAATTTAATTAGTTAATTTAAATTTAATTTATAATTATATTATTTTTGATTTCTTTTGAAATATTTAGATATAATAAATTAAAAATATCTTGATTTTATTACAACCATTTCAATCATAATCAAACCATTGAACCCATACCTCAACTATTTCTATGACTAGTCTGCTAACGATAATTGTATCTTGGATGCCAACTAATCTAAAGAATCCAATTCTGTGAGAATTTCCTCCTTTGTAATCTGAAAGTTGACTTTCTCCGTCAAGGCTTTCAATTTCCTCATGAAGCAGGGTTTATCAACCATATAGTTCCAAAGCAAAAAGGAGAAGGGCCTGTTGAACTTTGCGTGGCTTTAATGGATAGGATTAGATAGATTAAAAAAAAAAAAGCATTGTGATTGAAAAGTTACCTTATAATTAGGTGAGCTGCTCAACTATATTAGGTTGTCTAGTATGCTGGTCATAAGATATTATGGTGTTGAGCAGTCTCAGAATGTAGACTGATTTGTCTTCTGAAAAAGAAAATGAAAGAATGGTTCATGATGCAATGAAGAAAAGTTTCATTGTTTGTGGATAAGATACTAAACTTAAAAGGGATTTGGCATCAGTTAATTAAAAGAACAGGAAGCTTTTGTTTGAAGCTATTGCACTCTAGCAGACTTCATATTTGTGCTGTATAGCATGCATGTAATGACAGTAACTTAATAAATTAATTAATATATATCTTGATATTGTTGCTTGCCATTTTCATGCAGGCAGTAAGGCGAATGAAAACTTCTCCATTAACTGCAGAGGAGATAGCACGTATTCATGAGGTAGTTTATTGAGCAGCATATATAGGATTTGAAATCTGTATATAGTTTCTTTGACAGGCAGCATTATAACTTGTTGATAAATGACCTAAAACACAGGGACTTAAGGTTTGTAAATTTGATTGGATGTCAGTATGGCAATATCTTGTTCCACATAGAGATCCATCCTTGCTTCCACGTCAGTGGCGTATTGCACTTGGGACTCAAAAGTCATATAAGCTAGATGCAGCCAAAAAGGAGAAGCGAAGATTGTATGAGTCAAAAAGAAGAAAGTTGAAAGCTGCTTCTTTGGAGAGTTGGCAAGCCGTATCTGATAAAGAGGTTTGTTTTTGGGCCTTGCCCATATTTACCATGATTTGTCATGATGCCTCACTTGAATGTAGCTCAAGGGGACTGCCCAAATGGCTTGTGACGAATGTTATTCAGGCTGAAAATTTTACAAGAATCTGTCTTGAATTTACCATTCAACTAATACGCAAATGCAACTGTATAGGAAGCTATAAATCACTAGAAATTGATGTTGGTGCTGGTAAATGTGAAAGCATACCATATTGAAATTTGGTGATTGGTTTATTTGAACGTAAAGATGTTTTGAACTCATGTACTTAAATTTGCAAGCCAAGCTATTGCCCCTGCTGCCAAGTTCATGAATCTGCAATAGGGCTGAGGCTATGGAGTTGAAAGTTCAATCCACTGACTGATAATGGATTTATTTTCATAACGTTTTGTGATTTATTGCAGGGTTGTGAGGATGAAGCTGCTGGCACAGAGAATTGGATGGATGATTCAGATGTTGCTTATGTCCATCAGGCATTTTTGGCAGATTGGAGGCCGGAGACATCCATTGTTACTTGTCCTGAACGCTCGCCTGCAAAAGACAGAGAAGTGAACCTTGTCAATGATGCTATGTCACAAGAGGCTTCTCAAAACTACAACTGTGAACAAACTCAAAACAGTTTGTGTGAAAAAGCTGGACCTAAGATTGGTGATAGGGATGCATTTCCTTTTGTATCTAAGCTTCCACAATGTCAAATTTCATCTGACTTGAGGGGTGGTTTTCCTAGTGCCATCAAATCTAGAAACCCAGTTTTTGATATGACAACCTCTAGCTCCAAATACAACTGTCGACCATATCGTTATCGGAAAGTAAGTAGTTCCCACTTGGTGAAATTAGCACCAGACCTGCCCCCTGTAAATCTCCCTCCATCTGTTCGTGTAGTTTCTCAGACAGCCTTTAAAGGATACCAGTGTGGAAGATCTAAGATTTACCCTTCTGGAGGTAGTGTTGCTTCTCACAGAAAAGATCATTCTGCTCCAATTTCACCTGTTAAAAAATATGGAAGTGTTCATCCAGTTATGAGTACAAGGCTCACTGCAAAAGACAATGGTACTGGTTCTCAGCTTGAAAGATCTGTGACTGTAGGGGGCAGATCTTCTGCAGAAAAAGGCCCTAGTAGTGATCTTGAGATGCATCCTTTATTGTTTCAAGCCACTGAAAATATGTCTCATTATCCATTGAAATTTAGTTCTGGTACTTCTAGCTCCTTCAGTTTCTTTTCAGGAGCTCAACCACAATTAAATCTGAGTCTCTTCCATCGGCCTCACCAGCAAAACCATGTTGATGATGGTTCTAATAAATCTTCAAAGTCAAAAGGTTGCACTTCAGGGTCCAGTGGCTTTGATTTCCATCCACTTCTGCAGAAATCAAATGACTCGCAATTGCAAACAAGTTTTGATGCCATTCAGACTGAGTCACCAATTCCTAGCTGTATGCCAGCTATAGATACATCTTCTAGTGTAAATGAAAAGTCCAGTGAACTTGACTTGGATATTCACCTAAGTCATGCATCTGGAAAGGAGAAATCTATTGAAATCAGACACTTAGAAGCAAATGATGCAATGGGATGTACAATAAATGCAACAAATTGTGGAACTGCAGCAAAACCTTTAGAGACTGGTGTTCCATGCAGTCAGGAGGGTGAAAAAAGCCCTCCAGTTAGCAGTAGCAAGCTTGTTTCATGTGCTCATCCCCAGCTGTTGGTTTCTTTTGATAATATCAGCAGATGTGACATGGACGATCTTGGTGATAATTCTCATCCTGAGATTGTGATGGAACAGGAAGAATTAAGTGACTCTGAGGAAGAAATGGAAGAACACGTGGAGTTTGAGTGTGAGGAGATGGCTGATTCTGAAGGAGAAAATAGTTCTGGCTGCGAACAACTTGTTGAGGCACATGATAAGGTAATTTGTGTGTCTTTTTAATTAGTTGCTGGCATTTTTTTTTCTACTGTGATTTTCTTGCTAGCGAATGTTTCATTGAGTATAACACTATAACCTTTCATCAAGAAATTTAATTTAATGTCTACTCCTCACTAAAAACAATTATTTTTTCTTTTTATTTCATGAAGCTAAACTTTTAAAGATCATAAATGCAATTTTTTGCGGAGCATTAGATAAGGAATCAAGTGTATTTCTCAAAAATGCACTTTCCTCGTGTTATTGTAGGGAGAAAAATAAAAGAAAGGAAAAATACTTTAACCTTTGGTTTGATGGAGAGAGAGTTAGAGAGGAAAGAAAACTAGGAGAGAATAGTTTTCCCTCCTAATAATCCTTCCCCTCTATTTTCCTCCCACTTTTCCCTCCATCCGAACCAAGAATCTAGGACGTCTGTTTAAAGTGTTACTTGAGACAAATTTAGTACATGCAGTACAAGCCCAGGCCCATTAATCACTACATACTCAAACTATTTTAACACTCCTCTCAAGCTGAAAATTCTGCAAAGTTTTGCTGTGTTATTTTGGGGAAAGAGTATGGAAGGGAAGGCAGTGACTTTTTAGATAGGCATGCAACATACTATTCATAGTTGTCAATTCGCCAATTAAAGGTCATTTGGGACATGTCCATTTGCCAAATCACTAACATAGCTTGCCTTAACCTTGACATACTCAAACTATTTCAACGCTTCCCCTCGAGTTTAAGATTATACAACCTTCAGCTTATTACAATCAAAAGCCAATTAAGGGTCAAATAAAAGAATATTCCAGTTTGGAACCTCATTATCTTTTTCAGGTCCAGGGCCCTCCCAGCCAGCAATGTCTAAAGGAGGGCTTGATGACTTGTTGGTTACAAGCGCAACTATTCTCTCGTTTATGTAAAATCCTCTTAATTTTGTTGTCTCATGCCTTGATAAAGATATTTATTTGTCAAGCTATCCACTTCTTTTTTGGCTGCTTCTTGGATCATGACCACCTGATGCACTATGAACCGACTTTAGGATTCTCTTTCACTACAACCTTTGTGCCAATGTATGTTCAGTCATACGCTTTGCGTTACCGTTCATATCACTTTGAAGAATATCATCTTGTTCTTGTACGATGCTGAATTGCTGATTCACATTCTCAGTTAACTGTTGAGATCTCTGTTGAGATCTTTTTTTATTTTTTCTTAAAAACTAATTTTCTTTATTACTTCTTTGTTTTGATAGGAAACCCCAAATTCGGCAGTGGAAAAAGTTGCGACAGACACAGTTTTTACAGGAAAATCATCTGAACTCAGGTCCGATTCCAGTACTCAAGCCGATGATAGTCTCCTCATAGATGATACGTGTGCATCAAAAATGGCTGTGTCTAGTGAGGGAAAGAGCGACCAAAGTAGCACTGCATGGTTGAGCTTGGACTCACTTTCAGCAGATAATGCTGTGCTCTCAAAGACCGTTCATGAGGTCGGCAGAATCAGCAAAACCATGCAGGTGGATGCAATCGGTGACGCTCCAACTTCCCAAAACGTTGAATTGTCTCCCGCTGGCAGATGCGGCAAGAAGTCAAAATCTTGCGGCAAAGCAGGCGCCGAGGACAGACATGCTATAGACATGGTACAGCAGCTGCATCTGGGACCTGTTGTCTTTGCCACCCCGAAAAAGCCCCGGAAGCATTCTGGTAAATCAAGATCAGGTTTGAATATAGGATTAACTGTTGAAAGTTCCAGCCATGGTGATAATCACAGATGATTGATTGATGCACCATCTTGACTAACCTAGGTTTTTTAGCATTTGTCCATATTGGTAATTTAGGTATTAATTATCATTTGTAGTTGTGACGATAGCAAGTAAATCAGAGCTCAAGTTCTGCTTGCGAATGAATGAAAATGATGCTTCGTACTAATTTTCTTTTTTGCACTCCCCAAGTGGCATTATTCCTTTTCTTTGTAAATATGAAGCAAAAAATTTAATTTGGGCTTCGCTCATGTACACTAATCATGATGTACAGAAATTTATTGTTGTAACCCCTAGTTTGTGGTGAAATTGATTGATTGATTGTATTTCTTATGATCGCTACTTCAAACCTTAAATTATATCGCCGGAATAATGCTTCCCTCGCAACTAATTACCAATGGAAAATTTGCCATGGGTGGCTCATGTTTGATGCGTAAATCTATAGTTTAATATGTAGTGCCCTCGAGCTCGGGAATTTTTTTGGAAAAATTTTTCATAAGATATAGTCCGGGTCAAATTTGTTCACATGATCTTCAAGTCGGCTTAATCACTTGCTTTTTTAAATATAGCTTAAATGAATTGGATCAACCAAAAAAGTAAAAACCATAGTATTGGATTAGATGACGTGACGTTGGTAATCAGTTCAATCACACATCTATCCCCTTATTTTATAGCAGGGACCCAACTTTCTGACAAAATTAACAACTTAACCAATTGATGCTCTAACTATTAACACTACTAAGGGTCTGATGCCACACAACAGTACTCCTCAGTGGAAAAGATCCTAGTCTACAATCAATCAAGAAACATGAAATGGACCAGCAGCCCAATTCAACACTGGCCTCTGGATTGAGCCTGATAATGCAACGTCCATTGGAATCTGGATTGTGTTCCCATTACAGATGAGTCTTCATCTCGGCCCAGTTAAAAATTAATGAATGGCCCAAGTTGTCCCGGGATTCTATTTTTAAGAGAATCTTCTGTTTCAGTTGGGCCATTGAAATTTTCTTTAATATGCTTCCGCAATCTACATGAGGCACAAGATAGAAGATGCAGATCAATTGAAAATATATGATAAAAGTTACGACAAGCTGTATTATTCACATTACAAATTATAAATAACTTAACCTTTAAATTCCATGAAATGCAAGTGCGAATGTATCTAGTTTACGAAAATTTCACGCAGATATTTTCTAAGACTCGGTTGACTTTTCGTACATACACACAGCTTGAAGTTAATTCAGCTACGATGTCAAATTCATGGAATTTAAGGAGTGTCTGGAAACTCCATCAGAACTTGATCCTCATGTCGATTGGGTAAGTCTTGAAATTCACCAATTCCTTATGATCCAAGACATTTCGACCAGTCTGATGTATTATACATAATCCAGTGTCGCTTCTACGTTGGTGTATTATTAATTATTCCGAAGCTTTAATTCAGATTTAAATGGAAAAATCTTGAGTACATAACCAGATAAGATGCTATTCCGATTGCCAAGCTGGCCGTGAGATTAGTTTGCAGTATCAAATCCAAGTTCACCTGGAGAAGCAGACTACAATGAACTGCAGGCACAGTAAAGAAGACGGAGCGGAACAGAACACAATATGCTACTCTTGCTCACGAGATGACCAAAAGACACTGTATATCTGAAAGAACCATTTAAGGTTATGACAGCCGATCTTCAAGTGAAATGAACGGTAAGTTAAGCGTTTGAGAGAGAGAACCCGGGGGGGGGGGGGGGGACAGAGTGTGTATGAGTTTTCAACACGAACACAGCAGACTTGAGTTCATCCAGTCAAAAGCATTTCGAGTACAAATGTTTAACCCTAAAGTGAAAAATCATTTGTTATATTCTTACAATCTCTAAAATTGAGCCCCTTCACACGAAAGCTCTGTGTGTTTAAAAGTTCTTTGTGATTTCATTTAATTATGAAGACTAACTTATTTTCAACCCGAACTTAACTGACGAATTTTATTATAATCACCAAGATCCTTCTGATCAAAGTTATGATCCTACTGGGCCATTTTTAACCTAACATTACTCTGTTGAGATTTCAGGATTGCGATGGAGAAAACTCCTACATTTAATAGCAATGACTTCTTGTTAATCTCTTGCCAAATGAGATCCAAGGAGTTCATGGTTGTTACTTTTTTTTGTGGTTCACTTGATCACTGCTTCATATATTATTTGATCATTTCATTTAGATGTGAAGCAGCTCAATACATTATTATTTTTTTCTACCATTTGCAAGTAATTCTCAATCAAATGCAACGACTGATGTGATCCATTTAATGAAGATCGCAGACGTCTCCGATTCTACATGAAATGATGAATGGCTAGTGTGAATCGACCACAATGGGATCCAGATTGACCAAAAAGGTGTAAGACATTGCGAAGAGGAATATCAGAAACTAATAAGGGGAAAGAAAAAATAAGTGTGCCATTTATTAGGTTAGACAAGAATCATATAGATCAATTATTGAAACATCAGGAAACTATAAGTCTATAACTGCTCACTCTCCGAGAAAACTGGAGCAACGGCGCAGAGTTTCTTTCTGAGCAAGCATCGAGGGCGATTGATCCCCAAAGCAAAGCAAGGAACCCCAAAACCGATTTGGTTGAGCACCGAATCGGTCTGATCGCTGGAGGAAGATGATGAAGTGGAGGAGGACGAGTGGGATACAAGAAGATCGGATAGAGAAATCTGAGCATGCGAATCGAAGATCCGGGATCTTGCATTTAGTTTGAAGTCCCTGAAACGGGCCAGAGCTCCAGGCTTAAGAAACCTATTGTGAGAGTCATATCGTTGGTTTCTGTTTGGAAGCAAGGTTTGCGCACGGCTTCCTCGCCGTACTTCCTCTCATGGTTTCTGGATATAACACACACACACACACACACACAGATGGTAGGGAAGGTGAAGGTTATAAAGGAGGAGGAGGAGGATGTGGCGGGAAACAACGGTCTCGTGTGCGAAGAGAGGCATGAATGGAGGCGGAGAATTCAAAGTAAGGGAAGGCGCGGGGAAAGCTAGCTAGGGCTTCTTCTGTTCTGTTTGTCTCTGCCCTTTGTCCTGTTTATTGCATTTGCGCCGCCTGTATTTTTTTTTCCCCCAAAATCAAGTTTAAAAGAGAGAATTGGTTTGAGTCACACGCAATAGATTTAAATACTATAACGTTATTTCACAAAATAGCAAATCAAACACCCAGAAGTTTAGGTTTAGCAACAAAAAGTTAATCTTTGATAACATAACCAATCAATCTCAATTTTTATCAGAAAAAATATTCATATTTAACACTCTATTATGTCTTGAATATAATTATTTTTAGGATAAACAAAATTTTTGATTTATGTATTTTACTTTCATTTTGATTTTAATCCCTATACTTTTTTTATGTTTTAGGTCCTTATATTTTTATTTTTTATTATTTTTGATCCCTCTATGAGCAAAGTATAAGGATCTTAAAAAGATCTAAAATAATAAAAATAAAAATTTAGGACTTAAAATAGTAAAAAAATATAAAAATTAAAAGTTATGTTTACCTTTATTTTTAATACAAGGATATTCTGTGAATAATAAAAAAAATAGCAAATCAAATTTTAGTTGTAAATACACTTTATAACATTTAAATGTCATAGAACATACGTATAATTATCCCAACTTAAACTTAAATTAGCGTATCCGCTTGTTATCTAAAAATTCTAACAAATCACATTAGTTCCAACTCATGGATAATAGTGTATGATTTATTTACCATACTTCATGCAATAATTGTAGATAAAAAAGAAGAAAAAGAAGAAGAGGTGTTCAATTGCAGAATTGTATAATTAACAAGATGAATTTTCCTTTTCATTGTGTAAAATAATTAAAAAATTCAGAGAATTGAAATTTTCAGTATTCTTAGGTAAGCAAAGAGATTGTGATTTCAAGTCTTGCATTGGCAAGACTTGGAGACATTTGGATCTCTTGTTGCTATAGTTAGAGCTTTGGCTGCCAACACCCACAAACAGTAATAATTTTTGTGGTTTGTAGAGCTGATAATTCAGACCAAGCCTTACAGGCTAACCCGAACCAGCCCGAAAAAACTTAAGGCCAGGCTTAAAAAAAGATATTTTTTTTATGTTCGGATCTATTCGAGCCAAGCCCGATCAGGTTCAGGCTTGGCCCGAATACCTGAATAAGAAAATTATATTTTTAAAATATATATATATAATAAAATAAATATTAATTAATTATTTAAGTTTTAGATTATTTTATACTAAAATACCATATATTTGAGTCCTATACATTATTTAAGTATTAAAAAATATATTTTATATTTTTTTATAAAATAAAATAATTAATTTCAAAGTAAAAAATAATTAAAAATAATTTTAAAAATTAAATTTGGGTATTCAGGCTGCCCGAAGCCCGAAGGAATTTGAGCCGAGCTTGGCTATTCAGGCTTTTCAAAAAGTTGGGCCTATTTGGGTGCCCGTCCGAATTCCCGGCTCTAGTGGTTTGTTGTTGCAGTGCTTGCGTTAATCCATGTGACTGGTGGAGAGATGTGACTTTTTTCACAAGAAAGTCAGAATTTTAAATTAGGGTGGCCAAAACGCAAAATATATGCTACTGTAATTAAGAAAAGAATACGCCTTCATTTAAAAATATAAAATATTTTTAATTAAATTTTATTTTTTAATAAAATAATTACCTACTTTTTAACTAACTTTACTTTTTTATATTTACTCCTATTAAATACCCTGTAATTAGAACTATCAATTAAGACCAGATCTAAACGAGCTGGCCCTAATAAGCCTGATTATATGTCAGGGTTTTCTTTTACAAGGCCCGGCCTTAACCCTTTAGCCTGGGCCCATTTTTTAAATTTTTTTAATTTAAAATTATAAAAAATATATTTATAATCATAAAAAAGTTATTATACATAAAATTAAGTTTAACAAAATCAATTTAAATCAATTTACACCACAACAATAAAAAAATTTTAAATATTTAGGTCTAATATCAAATAATAATATCAAAGTTAATATCAATAAAAATTAAATTTAGCTAACATTATTAATTAAATCTTAATAAATGAATGAGGGATGGATGAATGATATGTTCATTTCTTTGAGTTATATATATTTAATCTTTCTTTTATTTATATTACAATTTTTTAAAAAAATAATAAAATGTTTTAAAAGGGCTGGCCCTTTTATTTTTGGATTTAAAAAAGTTAGGCCTTATAAGCTTGAATTATTATTTTTCCTTCTAAAATAGCGGCTCAGCCCTAGTTATTTTTGGGCTTAAAGAGCTAATCCAACAAGCTTGATCCTAATTGACA